CACACACACACACCGCATCGCAAGTAATCTCGCTGATCGGATGAGAGACCAAACAGACGTATACAATTAGTTTTAAAATCACAAACCTGTGTAACACAGAATAGAAAACATAAAGCAATTATCTATGCGGACCTCATGAGCACTCATGAAAACGGTCAACCTAAGTGCTGAGGCTTGCGGTGGGTAACCACAAAAACTTTTTTTATTACACACCAGTGTGTGATGAACAGCAGACGGGCACACTCCATAATCACGAAGACCTGCTGTTCAGTGATGGTAAACAATAACCGAAGCCCCGGGAATGGCGAACCACGTCAGGCCTCGACAGGTTAGGTGTGTTTTTGAACTAAACGACAACAAAGCTGCCTACCATCAAAGTTGGTTGGTGGTGGCGCGGCTCGGACCTCGGACCATAGAGTTCAAAGCACGCCCATGACATGCAAACTTTTAAACCAATCAACAGGGAAGCTGAGTGCCACCAAAGTTGGGTAATGGTGGCATGACTGGAACCACGGACTTCAAAGCATGAAGCCCTCCTGCGAAAGCATCACACTCAACATGGTCGCCACTGAGAAAGTACATTTGAGACGAAATTAACCTCTTCCTAACCTACCCAATTATTCTCATGGATGGGCCTATAAAATCGATTGAGGAATGAAATAACGAAGGCAAGGTCATTCACAACTTATTTTCTGGTCCTATATCTTACTATCCAGCGTGAGGACGAGTTAGGAAGAAAGTGACCTATCACGCAGTGTGAACGTGTCGTGAGGTACTACTAGCAATAAATTGTGCGCGCAAACTGAAGCTGATCTAAATTTCTCATGTCTAGGAACATGAACACAAAGTGTTTATGTTGATCTGGCGAACAGATGAAAAAGCAGTTGGAATGCTTGACGATAACGATAAGGAGTAGTCCGTGAGAACGTAAATATTCTGAACCAAACAGCGTATATGATGTTTTGCCTCATTTGCCTCGCATGGTTCAGCTCTTCAGTGCGCGATATAGTACAGAAAGGCTTTGGAAGCACAATGCAGCTATTGTATCGCGGTGGTGAAACCCCCATTCCGGGTCCATCAACGAGGGTCGCTTTCGTCTGACTCGCGAACCTAAAAATCTCATCTTCAGGGCTTGTAGCATTACTTTATATGTTCGGCATTTCAAAAGTTAGACGAACCAGTACAGCACAATTACCGAATATCGTGCTCATGCCGTCTCACCGAAAGGTTAACACCGTTACAACTTTCATCAAACTATCCCGTGATAGGTTAAGTTCAACCGTTCTTCTACTGCTTGTGTGAAAAGACTATCACGTGAATTCGTAGCTCCGTCGATAGAGCGTACACCTCCACGCTACATCTCACTCACACGATATTCACTGTTTGTAATCCCTGTTGGAGCGTCCCATTTGATCGCCGTCTCATTGACGCGCAGTGAAACGATTTCAAACAGTCAGCAACATAAAATAAAAAATCCTCGCATACAAAGCGAAGCCAACGTGAGTGGGACAGCACAAGCGCAGTAAACGGCTAGTTAATGCAGAGCTAGTTCATCTGTCTGAATGAAAACCAAACCCAAGAGCAAATTCAATGGATGAATACTAAACGGCATCCACGTGTCCACGCGATGCAGCTGATCAGACCGAGACGCGACAAAGAGCATTCCATCTTTGTACAGCCGTTGTTTGTTATAAGCTCGATCAAACCATTGCTATATACCTGGATTCACAGTTCAGTTGGAAACCTTACACCTGGTAGACTTGTTTAGTTAACAACTGTTAACCGATTATTTATCTAACCACCGTTTAGGCGTTCTCATAACGCATAATTTCCCGTTCATCTATTTCAGTTTATTCTGAAGTGGAAACGCAGAAAGCGCTCAACTGGAATTGCCTCAACTTTCAATTTCCATTGATAGTATTATTCACTATGCAGGGTTTGAACGCTAGAAGACACGCGGGCGAACACTGTGTGAATTACCTGCATCGGGGTTAACCAGATCCTATTCGGATGTCGTCCTCAATGAAAATCAACCTAATGGGAGCGAAACTCGACACACAACTCGACGGTTGACTGACTGGGTGAATAGAGGAGCATACATACCAATGAAGCATGAATCAAAAGTCAATGGTAAAACTTGTTGCACAGTACTACTCGCAAATAACTTTGGGATAAAAAATGTGTTTGATAATTCGGGACGATCTGTAGACCTGGTTTAAAGGAATACATTTAGATATATCATATTTCACTTCCAATGGATCGACTCATCTAAAGGAAACATTACTCAATCAAGTACCGTCAAAAGACGGGACAAAGTGACATAAAATCACTGTGTGACTTCCTTATTTCAATTTTTTGTTAGGAAAACCATGTCGCCGGAAGCGAAACGCATTGATAAAATAACTATGCTTCGCTATCTACAGATGAACGGAATTGAATGCTTTTACCACTAAACCTTGGAGAACAGTTTATTTCCAACCACATTTTGAGTCATAACAGTGGGAAAAGCTTGACAGACTGTGATACATGGGATTCATCAGAGCGATCTATTATTTAACATACGACAGCTAAATACAATAAAGCAAACTTCACTGATGAATGCCAATAAACATGAAATAATTGAGAATGAAGACGTTGAACCTGGGCCTGATAGGAGGGAGGAAAAGAATGTGAGCCAACACACAGCGCACAACCTAACTGTGCATACAGACCCTTTCCAGCATTCTAGTCTGATAAGAAATAACAACAAGAACGCCAATGTGATCGGTTAGTTACCACATCCTTCAGGGTCCCCAATCAACTGGCTGCAGAATCTTTTGAACCCGAACTAGGAAGGAGGGAAACATCTCTATCTAAGCATTTCTTTCTTCATGCCTCATTTTCACGTGATGTTTTCCAACCTGAAAACGCAACTGCGACAGACGACAGCGGACATGCGAGATGCGTGTGTCGTAACCATGGAAGCCTACTAATCCGAATTCTCCACCGACTAATTACCAAACAGTCTTCGGCTTCTTTCAGTGTTGCTTACATGCCGTACCATCCAACCCGTGCCAAACTGTGTAAAAACGAACAGTCGAGCAATTCTAGATGAATATCTTTCACGCGCGAATTTATGGTCTCGCAACCGTAAAGCAGAAGCGCAATATACGCGACCTTTCAGTTTCAACGACACATTACGTCGGCACTAAAAGTGTTTCAGTCCTGCGTACGCGGCTCTTGGAAACGAGGACGGTTGCTTCCCATTCATTCTGTGTATGTATTTTATTACTTTCCATTCTTCCTGTAAACACATACTTTTAGCGCAATAAATGAATTCGTGAAAATACGAGTTAAGTTCTATTTCACTACCTGGATCAA